TTGGCATGCCTAAGAAAATGCGAATGCTAACAACGTATATACTAAACAAAGTATTGAATGCTACTTGATGAAATTGAAATTGCGCCACCTAGGCACCAATGCACACAACTGCTGGAAATATCAACACAAAATATTTAATAACATATAAAACGCTATTTAAAAAAGAAAAAGAAAGGCTCGTTATTAAAAAAATATCAGGATTTGTAGACAAAATGTGTTAATTTTTTTAATTATAAGAATAATTAATTAAAAAAAAATTATTATTATTTTTTTTATTTAAGGAGTTTTAACTACAAATCCTGCCAATTACCCCCATTCTTATAATAATGGTATATTATTAAAAGAAATACTCGCGAGGTGTAAAAACAAAATTAAACGAAAACTGTGTTACAATGTTATTTTGTTTCTCTAAATAAATATGAATCTTCGTTTTTTCTATTTGTTTAATATATTTCTATATTATTTACAGTAAAAGATTTTAAAATGAAGAATTTAAAAATCATCTTATTATTATCAATTTCGTTTTTTGCTTTCACTTCAAATTCTCATATTTGAAATATACAGTAAGGGAAATCGTGCGATCGTGAAAACTTTATAATCTGAGTTTTCAACGCAATTACATGTTTTGAGGTCTCCTAAGTCCAAATAACCAGGTCCTACAAAATGGTCTTGTGTGAGTGTGTGCATGCGCGTCCGTATGTGCGTACTCAGATGTTACAGCAACTTTTTCTTCAAAATCGGCTAACCGGAAATGGCACTTTATATAATGGGTTTTTCACATTTTTACGATTTTCTCGAGAACTGCTCTAACGATTTTGATTAAACTCTGTATATCAGTATATTATCAAGAGGTCTTTAATGTCAGCTATGTCTTATCCACATTGATGTCGCCTTACAGGATTTAAAAGCCCAATACTCAATATGGCTTCCTTTAAAATACCTTTAATTGGGTTTATTTAAAAAAAATTAACTGTTTCGCATTGTTAGTAGTTATGAAAAAAGGCTATAAGTTTTGAATGAATTTGATAATTGAAGGAGAAAAAAAGAAAAATTCTAATCTAGGTCGAAAATGAATCTCCGGAAATAATAGTCAGAAGTTATACGTATATTTATCCTTGGAAAGTGGAGAATTTTAGAAAAAATAATGTCTAATAAATAAAGTTGTAGAAGGTAACTGAAATGGACGAATAAAATATAAATAATAATTTCTGAAAACTACCGTTATTTAACGTAAATCACATGATTTCAAGGAAAAAAAAGTTTGAAAAAAGTATTTAAAATCCACCAAGTCAAGGCAATGCCATTGTTAAAAATTCAATTTCATTGTCCTTCTGTGAAAGAAGAAGTGAAATATAAAAATATTTCATGGATGTATAAAGCATATGTTTATATACATAAAGCATATGATTAAATACATTTACTGTAGTTCAATAAATCCAGATCTGACGTTATATTTAAATAATTAGGTATCTATCGTCTGTTTATTCCGAAAAATAATCATGTAACCTGACATTTCCCTTTGTGAAATTCCATCGTTAACCAGTTACAATTAGAGTGATAACTTTTGAACTATCTATGGCAGACAATGGAAATCTCGTAATTTCATTTTAGTCAACTTTACAATGAGAAATAAGTTTAATAACTAACAGTCGTACAATCCATATCATGGATACATTTTTTATTATTAATTTTAGTGTTATTTCTAGTTGGAAAATTTACATCTTTATTCACTGTTTTATATTTCAACACTGCAATAATCCATCCTGGAATCAACTTACTCACTGTCTGTCCAGATATTATAAATTCTCCAACTAGAAACATCACTAAAACGATATTACTAAAAAATGTTGAAGTTGTCTTCAGTTTAGTCATTCTTTCAACTGAAAGACACATAAAGCTCAGAGACTGGAGTTATACGGTTTAGAAAAACAGATGGAGCAATGAGGTTTTTATAAAATGCATAAATAAAATAGGTCGATAAAATAAATAGGATTTTTGTTATTTTACTTAACTTACTTACTTAAGTTGCTTGATCTGTTAGATGAATGCTTTAAGCTTTAGCACCGTCTAAAATGCACTTCAAAAATTGTATAATAGCCCATCATTTCCAGAAAATAATTTCTATTCAAAGTAGAGCGGAGAGTGAAAGTTGGGTGTTGCGCTCACCAGATTTTTTTGTTTCAGGCCTAGTCTGTAATTTTCAAAGAATCTTATTTATCTACTTGAAATTATCTTCTATTAAACGTCAAAAACACCGAAAAATTTTATTTTCAATAAATTAAACAATGAAAGAAAAAAAAAAAAAAGAAAATAATATTGAGATCTGTTAATAATTACAATTTATAAAAGGCCTAATTACTTACATACATTAAAATATGTGCATATATATTGAAATTGCAGAGCATTCCCTGAAAATAAGGTCGCGCCTCTTTGCTAGGCACATTATAATGTTCAAAATCGAGATTGACGAAAATCAGGAACTTTTTATTCATTGTATACAAGATAAATACAGAGTTAATGTTCTTCTTTATAACATACACTGAATGTAACCTCTTATATCCTAATTTAAAATATTTATAAAAAACGTTTTAATTGTAGCAGGTAGGCAACAACTCTTAGGCTATACAAAAAATATTATAAATTTACAAAACTGAACAAATTAGTAGCTGGTATACAATTTTCTTGCAGGTTATATAAAAAAAGGTTCTAAATTTATAAGACTGAACAAATGACTAACTTTTGAAACAATTAATCAAGCTTTCTAATCGTTAAATAAGGAGGTGGTCGCAACAAACATTTTGGACGAGTAAACGTAAAAGTCTTGGTGTGTGCCCGACGGCTTTGTGGCTACATCAATAGAGATTGACCATGTTTTAATACTGGTCCGACATGTGCAGGACTGCGCTGGAACACAGGAATGATCTCTGTGGCTAGATGGATTGGTATCCCCGAAGTTTGAGTGTTGTCAACAGTGTTGTCAACGCTTGAGAGTAAAACTATCGTCCAGAATCACCTTATAATGCAGTCTTCCCCAATTATCTGTGAAAACCCCGGGTTTTTTTTTCAAGGCTGTACACTTTAACTGGGACACAGTATCCTACGCTGAATGATCTTAAGGAATAATGCAATGCTGGAACTGATGTCACAGGTCTCGGGCTCTTATATGGCTTTAATAAGTTTAATTTCGTACGAATTAGTCGTCCAAGAACAGCTCAGCAGATGTCTTATCACATCGCAGGGGGGTGGATCGATAGTGAAATAGAATATTTTGAATTTTCGACAGTAACGTACCATTTTCCAACTTCATGGTATCAAATTTTCGTTTGAAAAACTGTAGGTATCTTTCTGCTTAGCCATTAGTTTGCAGATGATCTGGGGCTATTAGTCTTTGGGGAATTTCATTTGACTCGCAGAATGTTGGCAAATTATAAACTGATTGAATATTGAGGGGTTATCATATGTCTTGTAAGAATCCAATCAAAGACTTCGATTTTGGCGCAGATTTCTAAGTTGAACTTCCGGCCATTTTGTTTTGCATCTGTTGCATATCATACATTTTATTTACTCCCACTAGGTCGTCCATGTAGTTCCCCTTAGCTAAGACTTCTAGATGTATCTCTACAGATATTCCTGTGTGTTCGCCTTTATTAAGTATAGATTTTTGCCACTTCGTAACCTAGCGCCGCTTGTACTAGTTTTTCAAATCCTGTATCTGACAATTGTAGCAATTTTTCACGAATATTGTAGTCCATTGATCCGCGAATAAATTGTGCCCTTAAGAAAATGTTTGAAATATTCCTATTATCGAAATATTCTTATATTAACATTCGAAGTTACATGAAGCCCCTAGTTACCATAATTTAGTTATTTATTGTTTTATAGATTCGATTTAATTTTGTATTCGAGATAAAAAACGGTGCTGTTGTACAATTATATTAGGTTTGGGTCAAAAATTTACTACTAAAATTTTAACTAACCTGCCATAGGTCATTGAGCTTGTCCCTATTGAGAAAAATCCTAGTTCTGGCCCCCTGCCATTAGAACAGGAGGACGATCGGTCCGAAACATTTTCTTTTGAAAACAATCTTTATGAAAACAATTTCAATAATATCTCATAATATATTTACTTATAAAAGTGAAATCTTTTCTTAACTCATTATATACATATTTTGTTATTTAAGCAAATATTTTTTAGCGGACGCCCCCTCACATTATGCACTCCTAATCTTCCGGGGACTAAAACTAACTCCGTCTCCTTTTCTTTTTTTTTGCTATGTAAAGATAAATAATTATGTTTTTGGTTGTATAATTACCTAAACCTACAAAATTTTCAAGACAATACTCTAGCTTTTGACATATTATGGAAATTGAGTTTATTTTACCCTAAAATATAAGTGATATAAACAATACTATTTTGTCTTGGCGTAAAAAACAAGTGGAAAGAAATTTCATTCATTATAAGAATTTAAATCTAGCTAATGACTTTAATATTTAGCTATGCCTTTTAGGATCAAAAATATTGAAGAGTGATTAATTAAGTATTTCTAATAGCACATTTAGGCAGAAACGAAATTGATTTCGTTAACTGCAGTGTTAAATTTTTTTAGTGTGACATTTCTGTATTGTTTTCATTAATTATGCTACCATTTAATAGAATGATGTGAAACTAGATTTGTTGGACATTGAGCAATATGTTCATATTGTTCACTACCAATGATAAGTTCAATTACTTCAATTGTAAATACACTATCTAAAGTTTTTTTTTTTAATTTATCACTGATTTATTCTTATTTATTTAAACTGTGAACTTTTTAAATTTTAAATAATAGTTTCAAAAAAATGTTAGCTGAAAAACAATATAATACAAAAATTATGACCATCTTGTATGAATAAAATATAAATATTCTGATCAAGTAAGAACACGGATTAAAAGTTCTTTTTGCATTTTTTGAAGAGGAGTATGAATTGATTTCTAATGCAGACGTACTCTATGAGGCAGACGCCATACCAGTCGGTTATAACAGTGTCTAAGGAGATGTTTGTGTCTTTTAAGTCTGGATAGAATGTACCAAGGCTGAAATACAAGCCGAAATGAATCATTCGAAGTATAGAAAACAGCATCTGTTACAGAAATTGTACAATAGAGAGGTAAGACTTTATTTATGAGAGGTTTTGGTGAAATAACCTTCCGTGTATTGGTTTGAGTAAGTCTAAAAGTTAACTTTTTCCAGGTTTATGGACATTTCGTACGCGGTGTTCCTCTTAATTATGAGCCTGCAAAACAATTATTTAATGCCATACCTCGTAGACTTATTTTCAAGCTTGCAGATACAATACCCAACCTTGATAAGTATGTGTTATAAATATTTGCTATGTCTATTTGTATGTTTAATTGAACCTAATATTGTTTAATTGTACTATATTACACAAGATGTTGTCTGAATATTTTATGGCATTGTTCTTTTATTCCAGTCATATTTTAATGGGAGTGACTAGATGTGGACAATTGCTTCTCACATACACTTACAGTTGTGACACTTCTTCTGACTATTCACCCAACATGGTTTACAGGTTGGTGATTTAAATATAGGCTGAAGTAGTTTTTTAATGTTTTGGTTTTTGAAAACAGACCTCAATTCATTTATGATTTAGTTTTAAGTGTTGTCAACGCAGTGAGTTATTAGTAAGCAAACCTATTTTTAACAAGTTTTGTTTTCCAAATGATCTTACTGTAGTGCCTTGTTTTATTATTTGTTACTTTCTATTCCCAGTACTAAAGTTTTTTATATTTAATCCACATTTAGTTTTAATATTCCTAGTCGGTTTACTATTATTTTTGAGTTTCATTTTTTCTCTCATTTATTAATCTTTCGTTGTTTGTAAAACTCTTCTTTTATTTATTTCCAACAACATTTTTGGATTTAGTATTATCTATTCAAGTAATCAAAAATTCAAACATTATTTTGATTTCAATGATGTTTACTCTTTCATTAAATCTATTAATTTTGTAAATAATGAAAGTATGCTACTTTTTCGTAACTTCATATTATTAGCCATATATTTCATAACATTGTCAAACTATTATGTGGCCAATAAATACTTGTTAAAAAAGGTTACTTTTATTAATTATTATCAGTGGTTCATTCTGAACCATTTTCATTTTATCTTACATTATGACATTTTATCTTACCAATGAAATTATTAATTGTAAAGATATAATTTCACCGCCTCCTTATGTACGGCTTTATACTAGAATATGGTATATGGTTGGTAAGTTAGTTGAGGATTATAGTAACAGGAAAAAGAAAAAAAAAGTATGCTCACGTTGCTGTCTAAGTTTTAGGTCTTCATCATCGCAGCTTGTTTGGAGGTTGTTGAGAAAGTTGTGCACTTTTAATTATTTATAAATGGTTGAAATTGATTTAATATTTATTTATACTTCAGAAGCAGAATTTTATTTGTATACATATTGTCAATTTTTAATAAGTTAATGACTAATCTATGTTTTGTGACAGCTAATGTCTCCTAACTACATTTTATAAATTATTTCTTATTAGTTGTCCATGGTCTTGTAATAATGAGTACCAAAGAAATTTGGAGTATATACAAGTAAAATTTTTTTTTTTTTCAACGCCTTGACTCTTTTGACTTCCGCCATTAGTCCTCATGAGCATTGGGGCTGTTCTAGGCGATAAGCTGTAATCACTTGTTTCTCTTCTTATGTAGATGATATCCAGGGAGCACATGGTTTATAATAATCGGACATGATCACAATCCCTCTTAATCAGGATGGTTGGCAACCTTTCGCATACATCTCTATCCTGTTGTTGTATTTTATGGGGCAGGGTTATTAGCCCTGTGCCCAATCCCCAAATCTTAAGGATCAAAGGAGCTATTTTATTAGACATATAGAGGTCACTCTCACCTTCCTGTGAATCTCAGGGCGGGAACGTTACTGCCCCCACACGGTAATCGAACCCATGCCGTATTGGTCTAAACAATCGGATATTTATTTATTTATTATTAATTATTTATGTTTTTATCATTTTTTGTTAATTAATCCCGTGAATAGAATTTAAATTCATAGCATACAATTTTTGCAGGCGCCTTAACTCGCTCGACCACCGTTAAGAAATTATCGTTGTCTAAGGCTTTTTTATATATTTTTATTTTCATGTGAAAGACCATTAGTGAAATTGTTCAATTTTTGTTAGAGTTTTATACAAATATGCATGAAGAGGTTTGAATGACAACAGAATAAGTCAATTTTGCTTTCAATGCATTTTAAATAAATATGTATGTTATACATATGTTTAAGTCACTAAGGTCCAAATTGCAGAGGGAGACTGGTCTCAGTGTTCTCGCAGAGAATGATTACCCTCCTATAGTCTCAGTAGGAAATTACCAATATTACAAAAAAATTGTGTATGGATGGAATGAAGCAGTAGGTTCAGCACACTTCAACTTCACAAGAAGAGACCCTGTTCCTATCATGTAAACAAGTTGATAATTTTAAATCTATATAAATTTGCTCCTATCCCATCTTTTGATGAAGAAAGATCATTTTCTTATTAAAAAGATATCTCAAAGTAAAGAAGATCAAGTTTTTCATATCCACAATTTTAGAAATTTGTCAATTAGTCTTGATGTAGTTGCTTTCTAATTCTTTTGTGTTTTGTTTGTTTTCTTATTGTCTATTAGTTTTTAAGAACAATTATTGAAAACTTTCTTTATTACTGATTGTGCACAATTACATGCATCTTTTTTTTTTTTTTTTTGTAAAGTGTCATATTATGTTTTTAAACATTAACGTGCTCATTTTTAATACATTTAGATACTTGATGTTTCTTGTGTGCTAATTTGTTTTTTAATTATAACCATTTGCATTTTATTAATTTTTTAAAAAATATTGTTCATTAGTTATCTTTTTAATGTACATTTACCTCTTGTTTTTCTTTCTATTTTTTATTAACCGTGTGTTTGTATTACTTTGATTCTTAGGTTTTCATAAATGTTTCATATCATCAGCAAAAAGTCATTAAGTGACATTTCATAACCTTAAATAATCAAGAACTTTCATGAATTTTTCCCTAATGAAATTAGAAAAATTGTGCGCTTAGTGTTATTTGATTTATAAAATGATTGGTGTCATGTTTTTGTATAGTATAAATAAGTTCTAAATTCGCAAAAAATATTTAAAAGTTAACCTATATCAAAAATGTACTTACTTATTTTTTGTAATGAGCTGGCGATTTTATATTTTTAAACATTAATACGTATTTATTTTTATCTCTCATTTTTCTTTTTCACATTACATTTAAATTATTTTACTCTATGAAAAATAAAAATTGAAATAAAGTTTATTGTTAATTGTTCCAGCAATTTTGTATAGTTCAGAATTTTTTATGGGCGTGCACTATTGAATAATTCAGCTATATTTTTTTATATTTGTAGATTTCTTGTTGCATATTTTGTTTTATTTAAAAATATTTTAGTTTTTATTGCATATTAGATGGCATATTCTCCTGATTTTGACTGCTTAAAAATCTGGGCTCTGTTGATAAATATTCTATGTTAACTAAGCATCTAGAAAGAATCATAATTTAATAATTTTATACATTTCAGACAGTTTTGACTTTTTATTACTCTTATATTTTGAAATTATATTGTGTTGTCTTGTATTATTTGTTCTGCTTATATTCCAAAGTTTCTTTAATTATTCTTATATTATTTATAGATTACTATACTGTATTTTATGGAAATTCATTTATTATATTTATTGAGATGTAACTACGTTGATTTATTAATTTTTAGGTATAGACTTCATTTCTGGGAATTTATTCCTGGACGACCTGCTGGTAAAATAGCAGAAGTTCAATTATTTGATAGCTGTACAGTCACCGAAATATTAACTATTGGAATATGCCAGTGGGCCAATAATAATGATCGTCTCCTTGTTTATGGTTTTTGTCATGGGTAAGTTTTTTTATAATTAGTTTTTAAATTTGATAAAAGACAAATTTTTAAAAGTGCGTATCTTTTTAAACAGTATATTTTCTCAATTTTGTTTTTGTTTTAATAATGAATCATTTACTTAGCTGTATTTATAATTAAGTTGTGAACAGAGTCTTCTATTATTTTTATATATTATTTCTCAAAGATGTTCTTCTGTTAGTATGTCATATCTTTGTTTATTCTTCATCGAATCCAATTTTTGAGCTGTCATTTTGAACATGTTTATTTTCCATCAGATTCAAAAAATACATCCTCCCAAAAATACAGGAAAAAGTTGTGAAGGAAAGTAAACTTTATTTGCACATAACTCAAAAAGTTCACATTTTATGATTATACCTACAAACATTAAAAAGTTTTCCGAATTCCATGTAAAACAAAAAGAAAAAAAATCATCAAAGTCGTACAACATACATGTCTATGCAATATATATATTGTTAACACATGTATGCTGTCTTATATACAAATTAAGAGCTGTTTAACAATAAATGTTGTGAAAAGTAAGTTTTTATGTATAGTTTCAGGGTTAAATCTTTAATTTATAAAGTTGCTCTAGCTTTTGAATGGTTGAACATAACATAGTAAAGTATTATATATTCCTAAAGAAAATTTCATATTAAACAACTTTCTTCCATAAAATGAAAAGATTTAAAATTAGTGAGTGAAGCAATGATAAAAATGCGAGGCAAAAAAAAATTTTTTTTTTTTAAGTTAGTGAATTATGAGGATGGATATCATCGAAACTATTCAATGTAGGGAAAAAACTAATAGAACGAAAAGTTTCACTGCTATAAGCAAAAAAACAAAGAAAAAAAATCATTTTGAATTGTAAATTCAATTTTTCGACTTGAAATCCATGGGTATGAGGTAACTGACTATTATTTCATGTCTTAAGACTGTAAATGTTATAAATTGAAAGTGTTGATAGTTTTCTATATCTATTAGCCCTCTCTATATATATGTTTTCTACCTATATTGGGTCTCTATCTTCACCTGGTCACTATTTTGTATTCTAGCAGCTTTACATATGCTGGTAGATATGCATTTTTATCACCAGGCCTGTAGATATGGTCAATTTATAAGGACAAACCTTAGTAAATTATATGACACTTTTTTTTGCCAAGGGCTGTCTGACTATGCATGTGCTATACAATGTGTGACTATAAAGTAACGATGAAACGTAAGAAGTATGCATGCGCCAAATGAAACCTACCTACATTCTTTTTAATGCTATATCTCTTGCTTCTGTAAACAAATCAAAGTAGCTGTAGCCTTTGTTAACACTAGAGTTGATTTTTTATTATGCCTGAAAAATGTTAAGTGCAACAATAGAGCAATGAATAGTTGTAAAATTTCATTTCAAACTTGTAAAAACCACCACTGATAATGCGTCAATCTATACTGTGGAAAAGCCCAATTTCACCTAGCCCTAAAAAAGCTTGAATGAGCAAATCTAAATTCAAATCAATGAATAATGTTTTATTTTTTTTTTTTTATATTTCGTTATTGATGGATTATACATACATGGATATGGAATTATACTGCTTCACTGGATTTCTGAACGTCAAACCAACAACACTGCCCCACAAGAAATGTTTTTTGGTGAAAACTGTTTCTCTTGAGTAATTTTGGTTTGGAGAAACTCTGTTTTTCTGTCAGAATCCTTATATTAACTATATAATGTTCTGCAGATATGTATACCCAATATCGAATACAAAAAATTAAGTTATTGGAAGTTAAACAATCATTTTTTAGAATTGAAAAGTGCTTTGTTATTTGTGAAATATTTTTAAAATCCACAAAACATTAAATTACAACTTCTCTCGGCAAGAACAGCGCTGTTGTACAGTTTATTTAGAACATTTCTTCTTTGCTTGACGATTGTATTGTTGTTCTGTCAAATCTCTCACCACGTTTCAACAGTAGCCTGCGAGCGTTGAAGTATCCTACTGACCTTGATATCTTCGTTCCATATATATCTTGGTGAAATTGCTCACCATGTTTGTCACTTACAGACCCACAATTTTTGGGAAAGAAGTCCCCCTTAAGCGAAGACATTTTCCTCTTAAGTACTTGAATGCCTCTCCTGATTGGTCCATTCCTTTGACAACATTTTTCATAAGCCCTAACTTTATATGTAGTGGAGGCAAAATGATTTTTTCAATGCCCACAAGAGGATTGTAAAGAACATTTTTTTGTCCATGGGTCAGGACTTATCTTTGAGGCCATTCTTTCCTGATGTAATGAGATGCTATGTCCCAACTGTCCCACTCATATAACAAACAACAGTACTTAGCGTATCCCTGTTGCCTGACTAGAAGAATTTCCACCACTTTCAGACCCCCACAGATTTGCCATTGGTAGTCCTGGTATTTGATGAATTTTAGAAAGGTTTCCATGTTTTGGTAAGTTTCCTTCATGAGGACAGCAATGGCCAATAGTAATAGAGGGAAGTAAATTGCCATTGTCTCAAAAGAACTGCCTCGAGGGTTGACGAATCTATGAACAGTCTCCATTCAGAAGGGTTGTGATTGAGATTTAATACTGTCATCAGACCTGGGACATAACAACAGGCAACAAGGTTCTCATACTTTTTGAAAAAGGGGATCATGTCTTTCTCATGATTTCTGTAGATTGTAATTTTTACACCAGGTTCTAAGAAGTTTCATTGCTCCAATCTTGAACCCAAAAGTTCTGCTTTCTCTTTGGACAGATCCAGGTCCCAAATCAAGTCACTGACTTCAGCTTGACTAAGCAAGTGGGATTTTCCTTTGAAAGAAAAATCAGAATCATCTGATAGGGTTCCTCCTATGAGATTTTCCTCTTTGTTATCCTCATTCTCAATCAAGTCATGGTATTCAGGAAGCCGTGGAACGGGCAATTTGTCCTAATTCGGTTTTAGCCATATAGCAGAAGGAATGTCAGGATACTTCACTTCAGATTTCTTTTTCCGAGCCATTCCATGATGAAGAAGAGGGGTCATGCAAAATTAGTAGTTGTCAATGTGATAGGACATTTTTGATTTGCAAAGGTTACTTCCCCACAAACGTAGCAAAAGTTGTCATTCACACACTTCCTTCGCATTGTAACTTCACCAAAACTACTGGGTTGTCACAACAAAATCGTTGAAAGAATGCCTGAAGCAACATAAATCACGTAAAGATTAACTTGAAATGTAAACACTGCATACCACTGTCAGCAAAATGGTTCTGTGATTCACAACTTGTCGTTTATCACGATTCACTGACAGAAATCAATCCTACCAACCCAGAAAGTTTCCCCATATTACACTAAAAGTAACTATATCTTTGAAACTAGATCTAACTGATGATTTTTATGTGGATATTTGAATTTCTCACACCAAAAATAATGGAAAGAAGCTGTTTTCAAGTAAGATACAATATCAATGTAGAGCAGTGTAATCAACATTATTCACTTTCTTGCTAAACTTTGTGAAATTGTGGATGGACAAGACATGGGTTCTTCACCAAGACAATGCGCCTAGCTCATTTTTTATTGTTTGTCAAGAAGATTCCAGCCAGGTATCCTAGTGCTGCACCATCTGCATAAGTCATGCGACTTCTATCGGTTTCTTAAAGTTAATTCTGCATGAAATGGAACAAGATTTGAGTCTTAAAGTTGTGAAATAGAAAGTAGCATGCGTCCTAAAGGAGGTGACAAAAGAAGATTTGGAGTACTATTTCAGACAAAGAAAAATTTGCATTGAGCGTTGTTAGGATAGAGGAGGGGTGTCTATTGAAGGTGATAAGTAAATATGCTTGAAATCAAAATAGAATGTTTTGCAGCATCTCGTTATTTTATTTATAGTCACATCTTGTATTGATTGAACTTGTCTTACAGTTCTGTCGCATAGATACAACTATTTAAAAAAATGATGGATGATTAATCTTTTCAATTTTTCATGATAAATTGGTAAAAACACACCAAACAATATATTAGTATACTAACATGATAATCAGCAGTCCTAATTATTTTTAAGTTTAATTATTATAAGTAAACTGATTGATTTATTTTTCATAATTATTATAAATAAACTGATTGATTTATTTTTCAGTCCTGACAATACTGATGGTTGGGGAACAGAATGTGAATATAAATCTACAACATACATCACAGTAACAACAGTTCCTACACTTAATGGTTGTCTTGATTGTATATCTGTTGCTGCTTCCTTTGATGAAGAAGGTAGGTGTAAAAGTAAATGACTAGTGCTAAACAAAATAAATAAAATACATTAGACGGCTATGAAAACTTAGTATTAATAATAAACTGCTTAGTTAATTTTTAAAAAATTATATTGCTATAAATTAATTTATTACATTCACTTACCTATACATGAAATATATAGTAAAGAATACTGTACACTATACTATACATGAAATATATAGTAAATCTTAAATTTTTCGAATCTCTGCTTTCAATTTCAATACACATTTGAGGTCCCCTGAGTCATAATAACCAAGTCCCACAAAATGGTCTGCCTTTGTGTGTATGTTAACAGTCTAGCTTAAAAACGTTAAAAGTCGTACAAAATAGTGAATTGCATATTTAAGGTTTGTATATGCCTGGGATGTCACAGCAACTTTTTTGTCAAAATTGGCTAACCGAAAATGGCACTTTAACACTTTTTTATGATTTTCTTGAAAGCGGCTCTAATGATTTTGATTAAATTTATTATATCAGTGTGAAATTAAGTAGTTTTTAATATAATGTAGGTTTTATTCTCATTGATGTTCTCTAACTTGGCTTAAATGGCTAATTTTCAATATTTTTTTCTCCTTTTCTTTTCAAAATTCCTGGCGATGTTACAGCAACTTGTTTGTCAAAATTGGCTAACCGGAAATGGCACTTTAACTGTTTTTTATGATTTTCTTGAAAGCGGCTCTAATGATTTTGATTAAATTTATTATATCATTGTGAAATTAAGCAGTTTTTAATATAATGTAGGTTTTATTCTCATTGATGTTCTTTAACTTGGCTTAAATGGCTAATTTTCAATATTTTTTTCTCCTTTTCTTTTCAAAATTCCTGGCGATGTTACAGCAACTTGTTTGTCAAAATTGGCTAACCAGAAATGGCACTTTCATTCATTCATGTGTGGCACGACATCCCGTTACCGAGACTGGGCCTCCTCCAAGAGCCTCCGCCAGTTGGCTCTGTCTTCTGCTGCAGCTCTCCAGTTCCGTACACCAAGCAGGGTTCTCGCATCATAGGCCACGTTGTCCAACCATCTCGTCCTCGGCCTTCCTACCCGTCTTACGAGGTGCAGCTCCTCCATCATTATTTTCTTTGGTATTTCAACGGTGCTCATTCTGGCCACATGCCCTGCCCACCTTAGTCTGGCCAGTTTAATATACGTGACTACGTCGATGTCTGTATAGAGAGAACTGAGCTCCCTATTTTTTCTTTTCCTCCAGACATCACCCTCCTTTACTGGACCATAAATCCTTCTGAGGACTCCTCGCTCAAACACACTCAGCTTCATCTCATCGTTTTTAGTCATCGTCCAAGCCTCTGAGCCATATGTCAAAACAGGCCGAACAAGGGTCTTGTATATGATCAGCTTGGTCTTCTTTGAGAGGTACCTACTTCTTAAGTGTCGGCCAAGTCCAAAGACACATCTATTGGCAGCCGTGATCCTTCTTTGTATTTCTTGAGCCATGTCATTTTTGCTATTAATTTCAGACCCAAGGTATATAAAACTTTTCACTCTCTCAAACTTAAAAGAACCTACCTCAAATGGAGAGTTCAGATCCACCTCACCACCAACTCTCATATACTTAGTTTTCCTCTCGTTGACTTCTAGACCAAGTGGTCTTGCAGCTGCTTCAAGGCCTATAAACGCTTCTCTGAGAGCCCGTTCAGACCTACCTATTATGTCAATATCATCAGCAAAACCAAGAAGCTGTGTCAGGCGATTGAAGATTATATCGTTGGTCTGAATACCGGAGTCTCTTACAGCTTTCTCCTCTGCCAAGTTGAACAATAGACAGGCGAGGGCATCCCCTTGCCTAACCCCACTGCTCACTTTAAACTCTTCGGAGTCGTCAGAACCGACGCGTATTCTACATCTCGAGCTGTCCATGGTCATCTTGATTAGGCGTACGAGCTTCTGAGGGATGCTTAGCTCCTCCAAGGCACAGTATAGTTGCGTTCTATCAACGCTGTCGTATGCTGCTTTAAAGTCTAGGAATAAATGGTGGGTGACTACCTTACGCTCCATAGTCTTTTCTAGGATCATCCTCAGAGAGAACAGTTGATCAGTGGTTGAGCGTCCTCTTCGAAATCCAGCCTGATATTTCCCCAGTTCCTTTTCAGAATACGGGAGGATCCTCTCAAAAAGAATGTTAGAGAGCAGCTTATAAGCACACGAAAGGAGTGAGATTCCTCGATAGTTAGCGCATTCTGTTTGATCTCCTTTCTTATGTATTGGGCAGATAATGGCTGTTGCCCATTCCGTAGGCATAGCTTCCCTCTCCCAGATGGTCAGCATTAAATCATGCAGAGCTTTCTTGAGTTCTTCACCTCCACATTTCAACAGCTCTGACTGGATTCCGTCCGGGCCTGGCGCCTTTCCATTTTTCAATTTCCTCAGGGCGTTTTCCATTTCCTCCTCATCCGGGGGTTCAATAGAATTCAGGGAGTCTTCCTTCATTACTCCTACTTCTCCAGGCACCGTTCCTCTGTTTAATGCGTCTTTGAAATGTTGTACCCATCTCCTTAGTACGTCATCTTTGTGGCTTAAAAGAGTTCCATTCGTGTCTTTGCATGCCGTCACTCTGGGCCTGAAAGCTGCCCTACCCTCGTTTATTCTCTGAAAGAACAGCCGACTTTCATTTTGGCCGCGCAATGCCTCTGTGTCCTCCATGTTCTTATTTTCCCAAGCTCTTCTCTTTCCGCGGAATAATCTCTTCTCTTCGCGTCTTTTTCTTCGATATGTTTCTTGGGAGAGCCTTGTGGGACGCTGAACCTTCTTTCTGTAGGCTTCATTTTTCACTTTTACTGCTTGAAGGCACTCAGCATCAAACCATGGGGGCCTTCTAGATTTAGTCTCGTAGCCAAGAGATTCTTCTGCTGCCTGTTTCATTGCGTTGCTGCATCTCTTCCACTGTTCATCGACCATAGAGCTGTCATTAATTACTTCTTCATTAAGTTTCGTCTCCACAGCTTGTTGATACGAATATTGGTGGTCTGAGTCCTTAAGTTTAGCTACATCAATCTTCTTCTTTGGTCGTTGGTGGTGGTTTTTAATCAGCGAAATTCGTGATCTGACCTCGGCAATGCTCAAATAGTGATCCGTGTCCATATTTGCACCTCTATAAGATCTTGCATTTATCATGTTGGACTTGTGACGGGCACTAATGAGTACATGGTCTATCTGTGATGTTGTTTGCCCATTTGGAGAGATCCATGTTGCTTTGTGGATATTCTTTCGAGGAAAAAGAGTTGTTCCAACAACCAGTCCGTGCAATGTAGCAAAGTTCACCATCCGTAGCCCATTATCATTACTGGTCTCATGCAAGCTGTGGGTTCCTATGGTCGGCATGAGTGCCACCTCCTTACCAACTTGGGCGTTAAAGTCACCAAGAATGATTTTAACATCATTTTTGGGGCAGCTTTCTGTCACGCGTCCAAGTTCTTCATAAAATGTTTCCTTATCCTCCTCAGGTGACACCTCTGTTGGGGCATGGCAGTTGATTAGAGAGAAATTAAAAAATTTTCCTCTAAGCCGAATGTAGCATAACCTTTGGTTAATGGGAGTAAATCGCATCACTAGCTGTCGAGCTCTGCCTCTCACAACAAATCCGGTACCGAAGATGTGATGCTTTTCATGGCAGCTATAGTAGAGTGTATGGTACTTCTTCTCCATAATTCCCTGTCCTATCCATCGGACCTCTTGGATAGCTGCTATGTGGATTCTATATGTGTCCACTTCTGCAAGGAGCGCACGAAGTGCTCCTAGTCTATGTAATGATAAAATGTTCCAAAATCCAATTCTTAGGTCATTTAGGCGTTTTCTGGGTCTGTTACCGTAATTCAGTCCGGCTTCTTCTCTTTGAGGTTTCGTAATAAGGTACTTTAGGGGGGGTGGGTTATCAGCCCACTGCCCCCGAGTCAGGTAGAGGGGCTGCCTCCTCCGAGCATCCTGACTAGCTCCCCCATCCGGGGCGGCTACCTAGGGAAGGTGACCCTAGGGTGTGTACTGTAGGTGACCTTTGTCTGTAGTGTTTAGGTGTTGTAGTGTGCTGTATAAAGTGTACTTGGTGTGTGTGTTCGTGTAAGTGTTCCCCCAACCTGGAGGGCCAGTGGCTGGTTGCGGTACAATGACCGGGCGATGGGACCGCCACCTCCCTACGCCTATGGCACTTTAACTGTTTTTTATGATTTTCTTGAAAGTGGCTCTAATGATTTTGATTAAATTTATTATATCAGTGTGAAGTTAAGCAGTTTTTAATATAATGTAGGTTTTATTCTCATTGATGTTCTCTAACTTGGCTTAAATGGCTAATTTTCAATATTTCTTTCTCATTTTCTTTTCAAAATTCCTTTAATTTGAAATAATTAACCATTGCACATTGAACTATGATATAAAAAATGGTTAAATATAAAATATGAAACAATTCAATAATTAACTTAAGGACAAATAAGAGATTGTAACAGAATAGTTGTAATAGAGGGACCAAAGAAATATGAGCACGTCCTAAAGATTAGATCAAGTTTCCATACGTAACATGAGCAAATATTATTACAAATATTAATATTACAAATATTATAAGGAATCCGACAATATTCTATACATATACATATTTGGTTTTCATAAATGCTATCGTTGTTGCTATTTAATTCTTAATTTTATAGATTACAGTGATATATAAATTAAAATTTGTATATATACCGATACTTAAACAAATAAAATTACCCAAAATGAAATAGAAATAGAAATTTAAACAGTTGTAAAAGTAAATGACTAGTGTTAAATAAAATACATTAGACAGCTATGAAAAGTATATGATAATTAATTGTTTTAAATGTTTTTTTGTACAGTCTATAATTTTTTCTTTCATTTCCCTTTGTATGAAAATACTTATTTCTGCTAAGAGGATCGTAAGTGAAAGTTTTGTAATGCTCACACTGCACCAGATTTTTTGATAATGGATTGGTGGGAATCTTGATTCAAAGAACAAAAGTATATTGAAATAAGGAAAGTTAAAATGAATTAGCTGCATTCCATAATGTTCATGATTATCCGGTTATATAATTCAAAAATTCAAATACAAGTCAATAATCATAATTTTTTTTTTCAGAAATGGCAGCAAACTGGGACTCATGTGTTGGTCTAACTTGTCTCAAACATGGTCTCACTCTCCATACTCACTTTTCCGTCCCTCATGTGAATACATTTGATCCTCATACATGTATGGCCTCCGACTCTGAAATTCTTGTCAATACCGGCGCCTTTCTTCATGTTATATCCCTTAGGCTAGATCAGGACACACCAGAAGTCTCCAAACATCCAGAAGAAAATATAATATCCTTACCAATTGTAAATAGGTAAAAAAAATATTTTTTTCATTCAATAAATATAAATTATTTATTTACATATTTATAGTAATTATTTCTCTTTAAAATGTTTTTTCAGTTAGCTCTAAATTAATTTTAATTATTTACTGCTTAATACTTATGTATCTACTAATCTTAGGTTTTAGATAATTATTGGGGAACCAGAAAGTAATGTTGTTTTCTTACATTGAGTTCAAACTCATAAATTTCTCACAAGTTTACATTTTTAATTATTGATGGAATCGCCCTCATTAACAACAACCTTTTGTCATCTAGTGTGCTCATTTTCAATATAGGATCAATAAAATATCAATTAGTTTTTGAGCAAAATATATAGAAATGGCATTTTGGTCATCTTTCAAATTTGGAAATCTTTTGCCTCTTAGAAAATGTTGAAATGGTCTGAAGAAACGGAAATCTGTTGATGCAACATTATGGTATGGTGGATGAGGCAGTACCTCTCATTGCGATATTTCTTTTTCGAGTTGCAGAATAATGCCTTTTCTGTTGACAATCCCTGGCCACTTTTTAATTAAACATTGATTTACACGATCCAATTGTTCACAATAAAGGTCTGCATTCGCAGTTAGTCCAGATATCAGCACTTCAAAATAAACAACGCTGGGAATATTCCCCCATACACACAAAAGGGCCTTTATATATATATATATATATATATATATATATATATATATATATTATATTTTTTTTTTTTTTTTTTTCTGTTGGATTTTCAGACCATGTAGATCTTTTGCCACCTTAACAAGTCTACTTCATTCCTGCCTGTCTTGGGCTGTTTCTTTCCAGTTATCTGCACGCAGCTCTATTACATCTTTGTTGATTCTATCCATCCATCTGCTTTTTCCACGTGCTCTTTTGCCTTCTATTGAGGCATTCATTGTTACGTAGAGGCTTCGAGATAGATTGCTACGAGCTACTTGCTCTGCCTCTGTGCCTTATTATCATGGGATATTGATTGATCAGTTTCTGTAAGCAGTTCTTTATTGGTCTTTCTTTTCCTTGTGTTAGTACTTAGATCCCAGATTGCTCCGGTTATTGTGCAGAGGATTTTTCTCTCAAATCTTCCAATACTTTTTTCTAGGCTGCTGGTTAGTGTCCAGGTATCACTGCCATATATTAAAACTGGTTTTGTCATAGCATTGTACACCCTTAATTTGATTTTTTTTTTTAAATTTCAATACCTTTAAAAGGGAGAGGAAAGCTCTGTTTGCACTAGTTATACACTGATATTTTTCTGATTGTTGGTCATTCATTGAGGTTATTGTGGATGCAAGGTCTTAGATATTTATGTATTAAATTTAAATATTAACTGAACACTTTTTAATTTTAGTAATTTAAGTATGAATTACTTAAATTAAAGTTTCCTCCAACTGTGGCAATTTTTTTTCTCAATTAATTTTGTTGATTTACTTAGTTTGATATTTTATATTGAATTAATTTACTATAAACAGGTTATATAGATATTACATAAAAAACATTATTTATTTAACATGTTTTAGGATGAGCTATAGTTTCTTAAGAAGTGAAGGTTATTCTATATTTCTTAGTGAGAATTGGTCTAGTAGAATGACGAATTTATTGATTGAAAAAATTAAAAAGGTATTAATAACTTATTCACTATTTAAAAATATTATTTAAGCTTTTTAATTCTCTTTATCTTATTGTTTTTCTCTTAAATTTATTAACATCTATTCATTAACATTACTTTTTCACATAAAATAATTTTTACAGCCATTGTCTTATTCCAGGATGATCCTTATTTTTATCATTCAAGAGATGTTGCATTTTTTTTTGCTCTTAAGCTCATTTAAATTTTATAAACTTAGAACTTAATCAAATATCATTATAATGCAACTCATTAGACCTTAATACTGTTTGATTTTCAATTAAATGCACTCTAAAAAACAGTTGTCTTTTTTTTTTATCATGGTTATTCATCTAATAGCTATCAGAAGCATTGTGCATCATTTTATTGGTTTATCTTTTCAGATGTTATAGTTGCAAATTTTCTTTTTTCTCCAGCTTTTATATTTCTTACATTTTTTTTTTCCTGGCATGGGAAGATTTGTTATGTTCTCTGAATTAATTTCTTATTAACTTTACTAATATTATGTTTAAAGAAAGATTACACATTTTTGTGGTTAAACATGATCAGTGGCAATTGTAATTATTAATTAATTTATGATTTAAGGACTGAAGACTTAGGAGTAGAAATAAGTCATAATTTCTTTCATTATGTATCCATAAAGCCCTAATTTTGTTTCAGGGTTATAAATATGAAATGGCAGACTTACCATTATGTCTTAAACTTGCTCTGGAAAGGCATCTACAAATTAACAGTCCGGTAAATGTTTTTTATATAATCATTTATTTTCATATAATATTGTTAATGTAGGGTAGTATGTTATATCTTTTATTTATTAAATATGTTTCATAATGCTGTTTGTATTATGTCCTTCTATGAATTCTCTATGTTCAATAAAGGAGTTTTTAGATTACTTATCTACTTTCATACAGTTTTTTGCCATAACGATCCCTTTTCCGGCTCTCAGGAGCGATGTATTTTGATTAATGAGGTATCAAACAAAAGGGTATTAAATGAAGTAGTGACGAATCATAGTAACATCCACTCGAAATTTCAGAGAAAAAGTTATGAATGAAAAGAAAATTTATTTGTGAATTACTTAAAAAATATACATTTTTTTTTTATTAGACCCATTATTATTTGAAAATTTACTAAATTCACTACAAAAAAAATCGGACCATCATTTGCAAAGATACAACCTATTGTAATTTATGTATTAGTGCTTCTAATATTGTTTTCAAAGAAGTGCTATGAAATATTAATTAACATTTTTACTCGTATGATTTTTGAAAACTGCTTTCATAATTTGATATTTATATATTACAGAATGATTCAGACACTTTTTAAGATTCAAGTTATTGCCTTTTAAAACCCTAAAATGTACAGTTTTCCAGTTACCGTTTGAGCCCAACCTTATGCCTGCGATAGGAAATCTTGATGCCAATGTTGTCATGGATTCCGATTCCTATAAAAATTAATATTTCCAGCTCTATAGTGCCAATCCAAACCCAAATGCACTCCAAATCGAGTGCACCTCTATTTGAAAAGAATGAAAGAGATCAGCCTAGCATGACTATGAATTGGACACTCAAGGCTAACACATGAACACATATTGAAAAAGGTCGCATCTCCTGAGTTTCTTTCCTGCATGGTAAATATCAGTGTGATGCACACTTAAACTGAACGTTATGTCTATAAAGAACATCGGAATGAAAAGGAGTTAGAAAATAATATTGCTGAAATTTTGAAAAATAACATGAAAATGGTAACAAATTGGTATTTGTTTTTTTAAAAAACACAACTATGTAACAATTCCTTCATAACAGGGAAATTATGCAATTTATGGTGGATTAAATCCATGAATAATTAAAAGGTTATAAAATTACCAGCAAAATAAAAAAAATATATATTGGAACGGGACCATTATTAGCAAAGATAGAGACTACAGTAAACTGTACAAAACTTTTGGATTATTATCATGAATAAACTATTTAATTCAACCTAGAAAAGGAAAATGTATTCCTGCACATAATATTAGATTTCATTAACATATTTCAGTACTATTTTATCAATTGTTCACTGACCAATATTTTATGCAAATTATTCGTATGGGCCAGCTAGTTATTGGTTTTGTGGTGTAGCGGTTTCTTCTGATTTAATTCTCAGTATTCCCATTTTTTTTTTTTTTTTTTTTTAAGGTCTCGACTATAAAAATATTTTAAATACTTTAATATTTATTTTATTTTTTAAGGCCTGTAATCTTCTCAGGGAAGTTAAGACAGATCTTGTTTATTCTGAGTTAACTAGACCAAAACAAAAATGGTTTACATCTGACAAAGCAAATAGAATAAGCTCGCGTAAAAGGCAATCTAAACGACAAGATGAACCTGACAAAGTAAGTTGATTTGATTACTTGTTGAATTGTTTTTTTTGTTTTTTTTTTCTCAGTACATCATCCAGCTATTATTTTTTATTAAATAATTTTTCAGGTTTATGACTTCAAAGAGAGTGAAGAAAATCAATGTGAGCCTAAATTTAAGTTATTTAGAAGGCGTTGTTTAGCAGATAAGATGTATGAGTTTAGAGGTGATGAAGAACATAATGTAGAAAACATCAGACCTCAAGATACCAGAGGTGTGTTTTTATTTATTTTTTTATTTTAGGTAAAATTGATAGACTGTTACCAAATTCCTTTTGGATAAGTATAGCTTTGTTTCATTTTATAGTGGATTAATGTTGATTGTACAAGATATATTGAAGAGAAGTTGGTTGGGATATTCAATCAATGAATTCAATTTATCTATCAATTTAAACCTGATTAAATACTCCTCTTCAAAGTAAAGTCCATTGTTTGCAATTAATTTCACTCCTATTTCTGCTAGTAATTGGACTTGATGCCGGTACCACTGCTTTGGTTTTGGTGTCTACCTATTCACAGTGAAGGTTTGAGTCCACATACTGACCTTCAGAAACAAGCTCAAAATGCAAAACACCTTTGAAGTTCCATCAAGCACAAAGCTCAGTTATCATTTAAATCAGTTATTTTTTTGTAACCGATCTTCCGGTTGTGGATCTTCACCTAGCCATACTCACTGCTTATGTTTGCTAGGGCTTTTTAAAAATATCCACTTTTCATCACTTGTAATAACTTTTTCCAAAACCTGTCATCTTTCGGATTTCGAAGCCAAATTTTGCACATTTCAACTAGCTGTTGGACTTTTTTTGTCACTGTTTAGGCCTCTGTCAAGTCACGGGAGTTTGACCTTGGTCTTAAATTCCGTACATTCAGGTTTTTAGTCACAAGCCTCTGTGGCGTTAGAAGTCCCTACTATGATTGGTAAATCATGAGTAGTTCCATGCGGATCCTGGTTCACAACACATTCAAGAAAAACATCATCAATGACTAATGGGCAACCTGATCTGGGTTCATCTGCAAGGCTTATATACCCATTGTTGAAATGATTGAACCAAAGTGGGGCAGTATTTTGGTAGATGACTGACTCCTATGTCACAAATTTCTTTGATGGCTGCCCTAAATGTCTAGGCCAGTAAATGTCTCAAAAGACCACAAATCACAATTTTTTCTTCTAACTGCTTCTAATTGCTTATGCGTTTTAAAAATGTAAAGGACTAGTAATTTAAATAAATAGTAGGGACAACAATATTGTTGTAGGATTGATTATGAAAGTTAAAATTAAGGATGGTGTTCATACACAAGGATTTTTATAACAACCTAGCAAAGTTATTTTACATAGCTTTATTCTCTATTTAAATTTGAATACCCTTTAAGAAGTACTTACCATTTATCTACAGAATTTTTATAATGTTTAAAAAATTCTTATTATTATAATTAAAATTTGTACGATCTAATATTGTTCAGTTTTTTACTTACACAAAATATATAAAAATAAAAGTTAGTACATATCAATAATACATTTTAGCTTTTGCAAATTTTTTGTTTTATTTAATATTTTTACCAGTTCATGATCAAATTGTAACTTTTTAGACAAAGAAAAGAGAAAATTTGGTATGAAACTTGGAGATATTAGTAAGACTGAAATTGCGGAGCAACTCAAATCGCCAGAAAGAACTAAACCAATTGATAATATTGTAAGTAAATTTAAAAATACTTATTAATTTTTAATAATTAACTTATTATCCAATATATGATATTTAGTAATGAAACCCACCTTTACTGCCTGTCCCAGTGGTGGAGGAAGCGAAGGGGACTGCATGGTTTCGTACTACGTCTCGTCTTGTGGGGTGGATACTTCTCCTTCAGCAGGCTCGTTGCTGATTGAGAAGGCTAAAACCAGAAACCCTTCCTCCAGGCTGAAGGTTTCTGCGTTGGGCTGAACCAAAGAAGAAAATGTAAAATGCTAAAAGACCTAAATTAAAGCCTCAGATAAATGGACAGTCTAATGGGTAACAACATGGAAACGGACAATCAATTTTGAATGCTGGAATATCTACCAAGATAAATATATTACCAGATGAACTTCTGAAATACGGACTGGAAATAGTGGTACTTTCTGAAACAAAAAAGAAGGGTAACTGAGAAGAAATGTTTGGAGAATATCTTCACTTTTGGAATGGAGTAGCCAAAAAGGTGTATAGAGGAGCTGAATATGGCTCAGATCATTTCCTTGTCAAAGGGAAAACTGAGTGGCTATGAAGAAAAAAACATCACAAAATAAAGCAGGAAGAAAAATTATTAGTGTAGAAAATATATAAAATTAAGCTATTGCAGGATGAAAACATACTTTGGTTATATGAAAGAAGTATGGACCAGAAACTTGAGGAAAATTTTGATAGGAATTCTAAAGAAATATATAAATATGTTACAGCAATGGTCAAAAAAATAGCCAGTGAAGTTCTAGGAGAAGAAAATTTCCAAAAGAAAAATACCAACTATTGGATAAATGAGGAGATGAAACTTCTGATAAACTAGGAGAAGAAAGTGTATTTCCATTGGCTATCTAAAAAGGACAGTGTAAGTCGAACAAAGTATACCTGCTTGAAGAGAACCTTAACTATGAAAAAAGGAAAGCAAAAAATGATGAATGGGAAATAATGTGTGGAATATTAATGCACAACTGGGATATAGGAAATCCACAGAAGCTTGGAATGTCCTAAAAACAATAAGGAAACAGACAACCCATAAAACCAAAATACAATTAATAGGTATTTGGGAATGGCAGGAATACTTTGAAAAACTGTTAAAGGAAGACCGAAAGGATTTTGAAGAGGAAATGGTACACCCATAGCCCGTCTTTGTTCACAAAGACACAGCATGGCAAATATCCACCGAAAAATCTGGTAAAAATGGAAAAGCTCCAGGACCTGGTGGATACCTCTGTAACTCCTAAAATATAGTGGTGAAAAGTTGGCAATAATTCTTACAGAATTAATACACAAGATCTTGGCTGGAAATGATCTGCCCAATAAAATGAAATTAGGGTATCTATTAGGACCCCATATATAAAAAAGGTAATAAAAATTTATACACCATATAGAGATATCTGTACCACCAGCCCTTTTATGAAACTCGTAGGAAGAATTGTCAGAAGTAGGTTAGAAAGATAATATGAGGTACAAAAGACCAAAGTGGCTTTTGTGCAGGAAGATTGTGCATTGATCATATTTTTACAATGAGATAGATATTTGAAAAACACCTTGAAAGATCTAAAGATAAGGAGTGTCTCTTCATTGTCTTAGAAAAGGCATGTGACTCAGTTCCAAGGAAGCTATTGAGGTAGCAAATATCTCAGAGCCCATAATAACCATCATAAGAGAAATTTACCACAGTAATGCGTGCTGTATTAAACTAGGGTTAAGTCTCTGAAAAATTCCAGACCTCAAAAGGACTTATGCAGGGATGCTGGCTTTCGCCTATCTTTTTTAAAATTTATGTTGATGTTGCTCTCAGAGAATGGAAAAGAAAATGCGGAAAAATAGGAATAATGATTACGAAAAATTTAGGCATCATGAACCTAATGTTTGCTGATGACCAAGTAATCATAGCCCAGGATAGAGAGGACATCAATTATAAGTTCAGAAAGGTTGTCGAGAGTTATGAAAAGCAAGTCATCTGATGACACGCCAATTAAAAGAGGTATAAAAACTAGAGATTTTTAAATATCTAAGCCTTGGAGACTTGGGTTACCAATGCAAGACACCGAAACAGACTGTTAGCAGTAGAAATTGACTTTTGGAGAACATCAGCAAGAAAATCCAGAAGGGAAAGGATCAAAAATGAAAGAATTCTCGACATGATAAGAGGTGGAAGAAAACATTTTAGCAAATATTGAAAAGAAAAGGTTATGCTGGTTTAAACATGTGAAAAGGATGATGCCTGAAAGATTGCCAAAGATGTGTATGGGAGAAGGAGAAAGGGAAGACCAAGGTTAGAATAGAAAGACGCTGTGAAAGAAAGCCTGGCAGGTCATGGCATCATAGAAGAACAAGCCTTGGATAGAGAAGAATGGAAAAATATCTTAAAGGATATTTAGGTCAACCGGAAAATTCTCAAAAAAAAACTGATATATTTATATATATATATATATAATTTTTATTCCATAATAAAAAAAAGAACTAACTCTACTGTTTTATGTTGCATTAAAATTTATAATTGAAAATTAATAGCAACTAACGAAATCAGACTTCTAAACATTGTTAATCCATGTAGCCTGTACTTTTTTTTTGGCACTTATGTGTCTATTGATGTATAAAATGGTTACAGTAACATTTATATTCAAAACTACATAAATATATACATAAAGATATGTCATCAATACTAGTTATGCCCATAACCATACAATGCTAATAACATAACAATAATTTAGGTTTATAGAGTTGGGACAGTTTGATTGAAATTCATAAATATAATTAGATGGGTGTGTTGAAATCTAATTTGTTTGGATTAATAGATCACTACCAAAATCAACATGTTGATACTTTTACTAAATAAGTCTTTATTATGATTAATTTGAATGAAAGAGCTCAGGATGGGACCAAAAGAACTGACACATTTTAGAGGGCTATGAAAAACAAACCAATGTCTCAAGAAAAAAAAAAACTTTCAATTCATATTTTATTTTCAAAACTTTTTTTTTAATGCCTCTTATTTTCTGCTTCCGTCATGAGTCGTTTGATTTGAGTGTTCAGCCAACAGGAATTGTTTTGTCTGAAAACAGAGAATTGTATTGAAATTTCTCTTATATAAGAACTTTTATGATAATTCCTTAAAAATTTTGTTTATGCTTTACATCTGTACAGGTAATGTTTTGTATATAGTTTGATGAGATAATGGCTGAATTATAATCGATAAGTATGTTCAGCAATAATTAATAATACTGAACTTTCATTGGCCAGTGTTAAGTTCTTATGATTCCTTATTGACTCGAGCAAAAGTATTGCCAATCTATTCTAACCAGAGTGGAAAGCTTGAGATTCATTCTATGGATCTATAATTACATAAATTTCATGCTGCTAGACACTAGGTTGTTAAGATAATGACATCTTATTACTCTCAGCCATTTGTTTTCTTTGATAGAGAGAAATAAGTTGATTTTGATTCCTGATCTTAATAACAGGTATAACATACCTAGGAAGGATATTTTTTAGATTTTCCACTTATTAATTTAACCATCCGATATTAGTGATAAAATTGATTTATTTTTATTATAATAAAACTAGTACTTTTTATTATTATTCTGTTGTTAAATAAATTTGTAGAATAACAATTTGTTTGACTTAATTTGTGGCACAGAATACCAATTTTTATTTTATTTATTGTGAAAAATTTGACAATATATTGGGAAACTGGGAATTTTGTTGGAGAGAAACACTTGACACATTAGCAGCAGAGACCGGTTCCATGATTTGTTTAAAGATTGTAATTGTATTTATGCTAATAATCCTTCAGATAAGGATTGTATTTTAAAATAATAATGTATATTGTTATGTATTGGTAATAAGCATCAATAAGTTGTTATTACACTTAATATAAATTAGCTGAAAAATATTATATCATTTTTGGCGTCTTGAAACTTATTATAATATATCTGTTATAAAGATTATTACTTCTAGGTTGGAGCAATAATAGCAGATTGGGACAGTGATACTGAGAATGTAGTTGGTGGGTTCCTGACTAATGTTGAGGCCAGGTGCCAGGCATTAAGGCCTCACAACTCACCTGCTACGCAAGTCTTCTCTTCTGTCAAACCTCAACCCTTTATACTCTCAGGTATTTTTTAAAATTTCTTGGAATGTCCTCATTGTTAATTAATTATTTCTAATCAATTTAAATTTCAATTTTATATGCTTTATTCACTTCTAAATCTACCAAAGTTATTATATTATCAGAACAGTTTTGTTACAAATAGATCAATTATTGTATCAATTTATTTATGAACTGTTTTCATAAAATTTAAGCTAACTTAACATGTGCTTAATTACCCGTTACCCATATTTAATGTAATATTTGACATTTATGTCTAAAAACCTAGATTACAAAAGTTTGTAAAAAATGCAATCATATGACAGGATATTATTTGTATATGTGTTCTGAAAACTGGAGTGGTGGTATTATTCTATATATGGTTAAGGAAAATCGGAAAGATGCAAATTCTTAATATTGAGAAAGAAAATTTTTCTCCACCTTTTGTAAATCAAAGAAATCGCTTTTGTGGTTTTTTAGTTCATCAAGCTTGAAATAAATATTAGTTTCTGTTAAATAATATAAAAGGGAATGGGGTTGCTCAGTGGTAGGGTGCTGAGCTTCTAATGCTCTAGACCATCCTGGGCACACCCAGCTTCTATAAAATGGGGTACCCTTAATTAAATAATTGGTTAAAGGGGAAAATGTAGTGGTTGAGCATGATCACCTCCTTGTAAAACCATTGACCAAGAAACATTACTGAACCCAAGAACCTTCGTGGGTTGTAGTGGTACAGATTTTTTTAAATTTATTTATTTTTAAATAATATAAAAGTAGAAATTATTAGGCATTAGTTTTTTGTCACTGTCTATTGCCACTGCCGTGTGTAACTTAATATATATTATTTTTTCTTAAGCCCTCAGCTTTCCAACTGAATGTTATATATTTGTATTATTGCCTTAAATTCTGAAAATTGATCCCTTTTATTCTTGAAAATAAAATTAATATTAATATTGAGAATACTTTCCCACACTATGTATTTCATATTTAGGTAAGTGAAAGTAAAAAAATATTCATATAACAAAAAATTGAACCCAATCTTTTCTGATTTCCGGAACCATTGTTTATTTCATGAGTGAAAATTGAATGAAACATTTCTTTAACATTAAGGTTTAATAATATCTAGTTACTATTCAGCAATTTAAAATTTTCGTTTACAGATGAAATGAGAGAAGAGATCAATTCTGGGTTTGGTCATCAACGAGTGACTGGTTGTTCTGTTAAATTTACTCGTAGGTTCATTGAAATTGATCAAGAAATCACTTCAACAATTACTGATATTGAAGGTAAGATGTGATTACAATAGGAAGTGATATTATCTATTTTATGGCATGAAATAAGAATTAATATTAATGCTAGATAGTAAAAATCATCAATCAGAAAAATAATAATATACTACCATATTATAAAAATTAATGATTAATACGTTCATGTCTTTAGTGTGATCTGTTTTTTAAGAATAAAAATTAAATTTGTTTTCTCCAATATCTCAAAATCACTTATTAAATAGAATGGAGAGTGAATGTGCTGAATGGTGAATGGATGATTGATCTTTCTTTCTTTCTGTTTCCTCCTGAATTTTCCCCATTTCCATTTGTTCATGTTTCCACCTTTAAAAGAAATTTTAGAATGATCTGGAGGATTTTATTCTCCTTCATTATCTGCACCTGACCCAATCTCATTCTTCTCATATCTTCTTCTTGCCTCGGGCCACATCTTGTGCAGAATATTTTTTTCTCATGTATTTAAGATTAGTGTCCATGTTTTTTTTATCCATACAAGCCAACAGAACTAATGATTGTCATGTACACTTGTACCTTCAGGCTTCTTGTTTTGTAGAATATTTTTTAGTGATCAATAGCACCTGTTATCTACCACTATTCTGGTTTTGATTTTTTCTACTTTTTCATTAATATTTAAGATAGTATTTATGTATACTAGTTGGCCTGTGCAAATAATTCACACAGTATATTGATCAGTGGTCAAATGGTAATATTACACTGAAATAAGTATATGCACTTATCTCATTTACTTATTTATTACTGGGTCCAGATCTGAAGGTCAATTTTTATCAAGAAATAGATCATAAAAATAAATTTTTTGATCTAAAAAATATCTTAAACTATTTATTGTATATAGTACAAAAATAAAAAAGTATTTGTAGAGCTTAAAAATTGTTTAACATGAAAAACATAAATGGACATGGTGAAACTGTGTAGCAATATTAAACCATAATGTTTACAAAAATTAAATTTTAAAAACTAACAATACTTAATAACAAAAAGGGCAAGTTCCTAAATATAGCACTAATTCCATCGGTGGAACCATCAATCCATTAACCCGTTAGCTGCTGAGCATGATATTTCTTAAATGTCTTTTCTGACAATATCGGTCCCCAGCGACCAACACTAGTTATGATATTTCTTGCGGCATTGGATGTTGGAGACATACATAAGTTTCGAGGTATACCACTATCTTTTGAAAACAAAGGTGAACTGAATTCTCTATTCAGTGTCTCTATCTGTTGATTGTGTCCTCATTTATATGACGATTTTTTTATTATTCTCTTTATTTCATTAAAAAAGTGTTAATTTTAGGGATATAAATATTAAATATCGAAAATAAAATGAGAAAAAATTCATTTATTACATATAATTATAATTTTCATAATATTATTTGTGTAATACTTTTTCAATGTCCAGATAAAAATGGAATATATAAAATCGAAGTTACTTAATAAGTACCATATTGTGGCAATGCAAGAAAAATATAGATATTTGGGTATTCACTATTTCATCAGAATATATTTTTAGAAAAGGAAAAATGAAAGTGAAGTATTAAGTTGCAAACTGCTTGTAAGACTGGTTGAAGTGCGGCAAACAGAATCCGGGCGTACCATCACTGTCCTCTCAGAAACTAGTGGCTTTCGTGTTTTATTATTTGCCTCTTACTTCCTTGAATTTTTCTCAGTTCTCTGTAGCATGCTCTGCACTGCTTTTGTTGTTTTCTTTCCTCATTTGTAGGCTTAATAAAAGAATGGACACGATGCATTAGGCGTGCTGACGGTGATCGACTCTGAATAGCGAGAACTGATTGGAACTTTGTAATCGATATGGTTTTTGTTTCATTTTAAAGATGATCCTAGAATTGACCACCGATTTTACAAATATTATCTCAATCACCATGCACTGTCCTGTCATGGCAGGAATATGTATCGGTTGCCAGGGGATGATACCATAGGGAAATCATTTTTTATCAGTCTGGTACGGTATCGGTCTCCGGCGTCTTACAGATTTATATCAGATATAATGATTATTTACGTTTGTATCTTTACATCTATCCTACTCTCATTCAAATATTTTTTAAAAATCACCAGTTTAGATACTTTGTAAGATAGTCAAAATTCGGAACCATACCGGCCATTTGGCAGTCAAGACAAATATCGGAACCAGGGAACCGTAACCGCAGCTAATGAGTCAAGTCCAGAAGTGATGGATTACAATTTATGCTCAGTTTAAGAATGATCTGATGGGTTCTATCAGAAGGTTAATATTTCTGAAGAGTTGTTAAACACATGAACTATAAAAAAATGTGTAAAGAAATACCCACCTACTAAATTGTTGAATTTCAAAACATAAATAGGGCAATTTCCTGAGCTCGTTGCTCATTGTTATTCATCATTTTGCTCAGTTCAGAAACTGATCTCAGCGCTGAGTTCAGTAATTTTCCCTTATAGACAGAAAGTAAATATATGAAGTAAATTTAGATATTACAATACTGAGATTTCATTCAGCGGATTCATGACTTAAAAAGGTATATTTTTTTATATATATTTGTATTATATCTACATGCCAGACTAATGTAAATATTTTTTTAACTCTGCTATTATTCTTAGGGGACCTCAGTCCCAGTGTAAAATTATTTTTTATTTCATTTCAAAAGCTGATGGAACCGCTGAGCCATTGGTGATTTGATTCATGAACTAATTAATTAATTAGCTGAATTCCATTGATTTATTTAAAATCTTTTCCTAATATTTATATTTTTGTGGGAAATAATATTTTCTAAATTTCATGAAAATGATGTATTTTATTATCTCAGATTTTAGCCAAATTCTATTAAATCTTAATTATTTTTAACAATAATCTACCATTCGTTAAAAATGAAAATATTGAATTTTTCATTTTTAATAAAATTGTTAACGAATAATTTACTTTTTTATTTTAAAAATATATAGAACAGAAAAGCATCCCATAGTTATTTTTCAGAGATTCAATAATGGAGAGGAGCCCTTTTCACTTAATTCAGGGTGTTTCGAAAAGAGAATTGCCTACGTTATGTATTCTTGTAGACTGAACTATCTACATTACCTTAGGTAATCGAATCAAATAAATCGCTCTGTATAAAAAGCCAATCTTTCTGTGAATCTAAGTAAGAAATTGATAACTTCCTCAGACTCAAAATGCAGGCTTTCCGTTTTCTTGAATATTATATAACAGTGCTTTCTTGTCTAATATTCGGATATTACAAGATTTTTACTTTCATTAATTAAATTGATGTAACTAGATATTTAAGTGTAAAAGCATACATCATAATTCAGGAATATATTTAATTAAATAAAATTCTGAATAAATACCCCAGGAGAAATCTTTTTTGTCCAAAATTACAAAACAATTTTTTCTTGGGTGGAAAATAGCAAAAAAAAAATCAATTTTAGTACAGATTAGCAAAATAGATAAAAAAAAGATCCTGTAGGATTTTATTTTTAAAATTTACTGTTTAAGATCGGCATAGATATTTTGAGATCTCAGTTTTCCCTTAAACACAAGAAAAAAAGGATAAATTCAACTCATTAGTATGTAATGGTTCATATTTGAATGTAATAAATCAAAACATATAAACAATGTTTAATTGACTATGTCTTTGCTGATAATGATATGCCATAGAGATAAAAAATGTCTGCCAAGTAAGGTCAGTATAACTTCCTCACCATTTCATTGGCTTAAATATATCTGTATTACAAGGTATACAATTTTTTGTATGAGAATAAAATCTATGGGAGAAGCCGAATCGGAAATGCAGTTACCCTTTAACATTCGCGGGTTTGATATCCACGAATTTCGTTTATCAGCTGATATTAAAATGCAAAAGAGTGCCATATTTGAAGAATCCATATTGATTATTCTTAAAAAATATATATAAATAAAAAAATACCAATGCATCCTGAACATGCATTTCACTACTGATAGTGCAAAAGTTTGTATATAAAACTCATTATTTCTTTATGATTTATTGGTATAATTTCATATTTTATTGTCCTCTGCTATTTTCCATCGTAGCAGACTGCTTATATCAGTTGCAGGCTACAAAATGTCACCTTTAGCACAAATAGAATAAAAGTTGATAATTTTTACATACAACCTTTTGCACTAATAGTAGTGATATATACTTAATAGGTACGTTTTCAGTTCGTAAAATGGATGGAACTAGAAAATTCATAGGAAAAATTCAACTTGTTTGTTCGGAGTTAACGAGACCAATACTTTCCTTCAGTGAGAACAAAACTAATTAAGCTTGAATATAAAAATATGGGTGAAGTTCACGCAACTTCGATATTTAAGGAGGAAATTGAGACCAAGACAGACTGATTGAACTTCGATGGAAATATCACAAAGAAGTCGTTTTTTTTGTTTACAAATTCAGAGTAAAAATTAATATAAATTTACTGAAAATTACATGAAATCTAAGTAAGGCAGTAAGTGTCATGCAAGTAATGTTTGGAATCGACTAATCAATCCATTTTTTCCAATCAATTAATTTTTTTAATAAAACCTAAATGTTATAACCCCATAACAATATTGTAATAACCTAACTCCCACGCCATATGATCAGTGCCTTCAACATTGCACAGCCATTATATTGTTAACAATTATCTATATTAATTTTAATTAGTGAATGGAATTTAATGGAAATTGATACTAAGTAATTTCTATACTGTTATCCAAATTTCATCCAAGTTTGGATCAAATCATCAAATCGAATTTGATCCAAATCGAACTTGCGGTTTTAGAGATATACACTTATCAAGGAAAATACGTTTGCGCATATATAAGAGAAAGGAATGGATAGAATTCAATAAAATTGACCCTACATTATTTGTTCACAAATATCTACCTTTTATCCAACTTTGAGCCAAATCGAACTAGCAGTTTCTGAAATATTGGCATATCTACAAAAATGCGTTTGCGCGAGTGTAAGCGGAAGTGCTGGTTAGAATTTAATAAAA